AGAAATCACCCCCAGGGGGGATGGTCACGCCGCAATCCCTTCTCCTCCATTCTCCTCTCGGGATCTTGGGCACGCACGCACACATGCCCGGCGTGAGTTTTAAGCCACCGGGTTCGGGACGCGAACCGCGGTCGACTACGTGGGAGTCCAGCGACATAGCCATTACGCTAACTGCTGGTTCCCCTGAATCGATCGACTTTTGAAACTGCCCTACGCAATGTGAGATGAAAGAGAGAAGGAAGAGGAGGCTACAGCTTCAGCTCTCCCTTCACGGAACACGGTTGGGATAGGGGAAGACCCCGGAGAATAGCCCTTTGTCGGACTCCACATTTTACAGAAGAGAACAGGGAGCCCAGAGAGAGAAGAGCCCCTTCCAAGGCCACACCTGCATTCAAACACCTGGTCCTGACTTCTTCCTGCCATGCCAAGCTCGTCCTCCCCATCCCTGCCTGTCCAAAGCAAACCTTCCACCCTCACTGATTCTGCACGGGGCCTCCTCTGGTTATTTATCTTGGGTTGTGTCCCACCCCGCCTTCTAGACAGGGTGCCGAGTCTCCAAGGCAAAAAGCACCATCTCTTTTGCTTTGACGGTGCTGGGACAGAGCTCTGCCTGCAGCCACCTCAGTAAATGTTCATCGCTGCCGCGGTTGCCAACGCAGTGTAAGAAGCGTTCTCGTCCTGGCCCTGTCTCTAATTTGCTGTGTGACCTTAGACAAGCCACCTCACTCCTCTGGGCTAGTTTCTCGTTTATCAAGTGAATTAGACCACGTATATCATTCCTAAAGTCAGAGAAACAAGCTTCACCCAGTAAGGTAGGATCTTGGTACAGGACACCAAACTCTCTGCACAGATACCTCCCCTGGGCTATGCCTTTGAGGGTGGTGACCCCGATATGGAAGACAGAAAACAGTAAGCCCCTTTACTCAAATAAGCTGGGGGAAAAACCTCACTGGCAGGACCTTTACTGTGTCTTGGGGGATGAGGTGTCACAATAGGTGGGAGCAGGCTGGGTCCTAGGACAGGGACAGCACATGGGCTGGGAAGAAAAGAAGGTGCCATGCTGTGTGAACAAGGGCAGGCGGAGCCACCTAGGAAAGGGAAGGGAAGGATGGGAAGCGCTGGGAGATGATCTATTTTGGAAGGCAGATGGGTGAGCAGGGCCTAGCTCCAGAAGAGTCAGGAGGGAAGAACCCGAGAAGCATGTGGCCCCTGGGATGCTGCCAGCCAGCTAGCTGGTCACTCATGGTCTTCAGGGCCCAGGACACACCTGGTGAGGAGCCAGAACCAGGGTCTCGGGAACAGAGGGTTTGGAAGCCCCGTGGTTCATCTGGGCACCTGTGCTTCTTTCATGGAGCCCTGCCTTCCCCAAAGCCATGGCAAGAGCCCAGTTAGTAGGGATGGCAGTGGGGGAGGGAACGCAGAAGGGGAGGACAGCTTGTGTTCAGGATTCGCCCAGCAGAGAAGCCTGGACTAGCGAAGGGCCTACGTCTTGTACCCTTCTTCCTCATTCACTCATGCCTCAATCTGCCCAGACCTTGGCTTCCCCATTCAGGCCCCTCGCTGGTGCCGGGCAACTTCCCTGCTTTCTGAAGCTGCCAGCAGGCTGAGGGAGTTTACTACCCTCTCCGCTGGGAGACCTGTTGGCCAAGGGAGGCGCGGAGCCCGCCCAGCCATGGTGGCAGCTGTGCCCGCCTCCCGCCAGCACAGCACACAGCTTCTCCCACTCAGAATGGGAGAGGGAAGCAGCAGGGTGAATTTCCTATCTCTGAACCCTAACCTGCTCCCCACTCCCAGGAAGCTTGCAGGGAAACTGGAGGACCATCGCCTTCCCTAGGCAGGATGTGAAATGGTTAACAGCCCATTCGGGGAACTAAGAGGACTGTCTGGGACCCTATGGACAAGCCAGTTCTCTTCCACTGGGACTGGTCTTCAGGCATCGTCTCCTGAGCAGTTGAGCTGTCTCCTGCCGGCTGTCCCCTCTGCTGACTCAGTCATTGGCCACCACCACTTGGCAGTAGGCCGCGCACTATGCTCTGTGAGGGCCTTGGGAATCGGAGTATCTGTCTCCACAGAGCAGGGTTCACTTCCTAAGACTGTCCCAAACTGCTTCTGCTTCGATCTACAAAAAGCTCACCACCTGCAGAAAGCCCCAGCTCCTCGGTGGGTCATCCCAGAGTCCCATGTGTGGCCCCAGCTCCCGCTGCTGGTCCAGTGGGCTCAGCACTCCACACCACTCACCACTTCCCAAACCAGACGCATGCCTTTCCTTGACAGTTTCTACCCTTGGGGAACTCTTTAAATCATGACCTGAATGTTGGCTTCACTGCCCTGGGTCCCTCTGCACTGCCAGAGCCCCCAGAAATACTGCCACGACCCAGTTTATGACACGGGGTCACAGTGATCTCTTCTTTCACCTACTGGGGTAAGAACTCTACCAGGAATCTTCAAAAAGTCCATGGGAAATGTGTATGATGAACAAACTATGTACAGATTTCAGATTTTGTTTTGCACCAAAACAAATTCATACTTTTAATTCCATTTTCCACAAACTTTCGGAAGCCCCTGCATTCCCTTTTCCCCTGGGCCCAGCCAGTGTCTGAGAGTAAGTCAAGGACAGTTCTGCCTGAGCAGCAGCTTTGCTTTCCCTCTCACGAGAGGGGCCCCGGGGCTCTGAGCCCTCTTCCAGGACTTCAGCGGGTTACACGAAGGCCTGCTCCTTGGTCCTCTGGAGACCCAACAGGCAGCAGCCCAGGGAACCACATCACGACTTCCAGCCTGGGGTCACCCAACAAGGTCGGGTGGTCTTGGGTGAGTAACAGGTCATGGCACAAGTTGTGTGGGATAATCTATTTTAATGAAATTCGCTATTTATATATTTACAAAAAAAAATGAAAACAAAACAACAAAAATAGAAATTACAGCATAATAAAAAGTAGGCCTGGGCACTGTGGGCTGGAGGCGGGATGCCCACCTAGCAGCACGTCCACCCCACATGTCATCTGAGGAACTGGCAGAGGCTCAGCCCAGAGACCCTGTCCTCTCCTCAGGGGCTCACTGTCCTCTGATCCTGACATTCACCCTTATGTCCTTCTTCCTGGTCAGGAAGCCGGCGGGGGGGTGGGGTAGGATGAACAGAGGGATCCCCAAGGGCAACCAGGGTGGGGAACTTGGGAGCTCAACAGGAGCAAGAAGCTCCCATTTTTATTCCTGGAACCCAGAAGGAGAAAATGGGAAAGGGGAGAGAGGGAGGGGAGGTGATTTGTTCATCTCTTCTGCTTTCGGACAGTCCACTCCTGTATATTACTCCCAGTCTCAGACAGGCCCAGAGAGGTTCCAGTGACAAACTGTTATTTGTGTCCCAGTGGGACAAGTGATCTAGGAAGTAAACTGCAGAGCCGGCAGGAGGTGGGGTCCTCTTCAGTAAGACACTGCTCCTGGCTCCCGGGGAGCGATGAAAAGGACGTCGGCCTTAGCATTGATGCAGTAGGTCACAGCCAGAGAGAAGACGAGGATGCCAAAGCCCACCATCAGGGTGATGAACTGCGAGGGAGGCGGGGCAGGAAGGAGAAGGGTGTTCTCAGAACTCAGTGCAGGGCCAGCGGCCTGGCGGGTAAGGCAGCCGGATCCCACACCGCCGACTGCACAGTTCAGCCTGAAAACACGCCGGGCGTGTGTGCGTGTGTGCTCAGAACACCGAGAGGAGAAGGGACTGTGACGTGGCCACTCCCCAGGGAGGAATGAACTCAGCGCAGTCCCGGGTCACTGCTTGCAGCCAGGAGCCAGACACTGGAGTTCTGGCACTGGCTCCACACGCCAATTACGGAACAATCCTGGGCAGTGTCTCCCTGCCTGCAACGCGGTCTCCCCTTTGGAAAGGGAAGCCAAGTGCCTTGTTCTTATTTCCACCTCTCATTTCTTGAAGGTGGGACACTCGGCTTTGACTCTATCACGGCACTGCTGCCAGACTCACTAGTGACAAGGCTCACTCAGTATCAGACCGAGTCACCCCTGCCGTGACACACCGGGAACGCCAGAGGGAGCAGGGGTGTGGACAGGCCACGAGGACCTGCAGGGCCTCTCCAGAAATGCGTCCTCAAGTTATGAGTGAAGAAAGGCTTCCTAATCGAACACTGGCTGACCAGCGACAGATCTGAGTGGATTTCTGCTGCAAGTCTGGGGCAGTGGGAGGCAGACGGGAAGAGACAGCAGGAAGTCCATTACACCTCCGCCGCCTCCCGCCCACAGCATCTCACCTCGAGCTCTTTGCTGGCGACCAGGAATATCCGGGCACGAATGTCTTTCCATCGGCTCTCAGTCCACGTAGAGTATTCCTTGGAGCTCCACTGACTCAGCTCGAAGGCAGGGGACAGGGCCCTGGCCAGTCGTGCCGTGGAACGCACACACCGGGGGAGGCGCTCTGTCTCGTTGGAGTTCAGAGGGACAGGGGCGGGGGACAGGCCCCTGGCCAGTCGTGCCGTGGAACGCACACCCCGGGGGAGCCGCTCTGTCTCGTTGGAGTTCAGAGGGCCTTGAACCCATGAGTACTCATACAGCTGCACAGGGAGCGGGCCACGATACGAGGCTGAGGCCGCCTCTCCTCACCCACACCCTGGGCCCTTTACCAGCGCCACGTTCTGGCCCGCGGAGCTAACAGGCTGCCGTCTCCCTGGTCCGTTCCTACCCAGGCTACCATCTCTTCGATGCTCATGTTGAAAGGACTGCATCTCTTCCCCTCCCCACCCCAGCCCCCTGGGTCCAGCTGGGCCCAAGAGACCCTCCGACCCTCCCAAGGGGAAGGCCCCGGGCAGCTCCGACACCCACCACCACTCACATCCTTGCTCTCGTTTGGGACGTGACTTGGATCCTGGCACTGCTCTCGGGTGAGGTCAGTCACCTGGCCAGTCAGATTTGCCAGGGCATACTGGACAACGTAGGTGGTGTTGGTGGGGCTGGAGACAGCGGTGTAATGTTGAAGAGGCCCGTCCCCTGCACAGACACCAAAGGCGGTGGGACGTGGAGTGGAAGGGGTGAGGGTAGGCAGAAACAGAAATAACCCAGATCGGCAGAAACCAGAAGGTTAGAAGAGGATGCAAGGTATCAGAAGGATAGGAAAATGAGAAGAAAAGAAAAGGAAAAAAAGAAGAGTGAAGATTAAACCAAGATGGTAACTTTTCCTCTATTCCTCTTCTCGACTAAGGCCCCATTCCCACACCAGACGCTTACCCAAATAGGCCCTTAGGTCCTGCCTGAGGACAGACTGGAACCAAGAGTTGTTGGCCCTAATCAGGAACCCATAGAGCAGACGGGTAACCTAGGATTGAACAGCGAGAAGAGAAAGCCATGATGGGGAGTGAGCCCAGGGAAAGGGACATTAACGCAGACCCAGACACAGGGCAGGTCCCAGGCAGGGGTCAGGAGATGGCGACTGGCTTGCAGGGCGGATGAGGCCTAGGTGAGCGCGCTCGCTGGCACGACTGGGCATGCTGAAGTCCCAGGTCTGGGAAGCAGGCAGGGGACATGAGGGACGGGGCAGCCTGCCATGTGCACAGACAGGAGCTGCGGCCCCCGCTTACCGTCTGGGGATCAGCATGGACTGTGTCACTGAGGTTGGCTCCTCCTGCGAGCTGGTACAGCGCCCGTGCCAGCACCGTGGCCACGTCCGCCAGGGCCTGTGGGGGTGAGGAGGGCTGAGTGGGCTGCCTCCTGTCCTTCCCCTGACGTGCTCCCCACAGCCCGTGCCAGCGCTACCTTGGCGGTGTCTGTCACGAAGTCCAGGTCCTCCTCAGGGCTCAGCCACTCAGGATAGCTCACGTTGATGTTCTCGGCAGTGTCATAAATGCTCTGGTAATAGCTGCCAGGAAAGCCAGCGTGAGCCGTGGCTAAGTTCAGCCAAGGCTCTGCTCCTGGTCACCCCCAAGAGCTCCTTACACAGGAACTTGGTATCTCACTTCTCATCACCCAGGGGTACAGGGAGAGAGAATCAGAATCCCATACTGAAGAGGGAATGGACGGGGGAAGTAGGAGGGATGGTGGGGTGGTCAGTGACAGAGCTGTCCATGACGGACAGGGCAGGAGAGCTAAGTGAGCACAGGTCTTTAACCACGGGAGACAGTGCTCCATCCTTTGGGCTGGGGGTCTAGGAGGATGGAAGATGGTTCTCAGAGATTCTGCCCCATATCATCAGGGCAGCTGTATTAGTGGAAAAACAGAATTAAAGTATATGTTTATTTTAGTGCAAAACAATTTGAAATGTGAGGCCAGCCAGGTGGTGTGGTGTGGTGCGGCGTGGCTGGATCCCACATGGCTGACTGCATGGTTTGAGTCTCAGACCATGGGAAAAACCCTGGGTGCACATGCGTGTGTACCCAAAATCCCAAGAGGAGATTGGAGAAGGGACTATGGTGTGGCTACCCCTGGGGAGTGCTTTCTCTCTCTCTCTCTCTATCTCTCTGTCTCTCCACTGAGTGTACAAGTTCTCTAACAAATTAAAAATTTTTTTTTCTAACCCACAGTTTTTTCATAACTCACATTTTTGATGGACTTCTGGGAGATCTTGCATACAAGAACATACTGAGCACCACCTGGTGGCATGGTGGTTAAGGCAACTGGATCCCACATGGCCAAGTACACAGTTTGAGCCCCTATCCTGAGGACTCCCTGCACTCACCGGGTATGCACACTCATGCCTGGGACCCTGACTGGCTGAGATTGAAGGTGGACTGAGCATTAAGACCTCACTGGGGTACCTCCACCCTCGTCTCTGTATCTTGTGAAATAAATTGGACTCCCACATAGTCAACCGCGGTTTGAGTCCTGGACCCAGCGGCTTGAACTCACACCAGGCGCGTGTGTGTGCATGCCCAAGAACCTGAGAGGAGAATGGAGGAGAAGAGATTGCAGCATGTTCCATCCCCCCTGGGGGTGATTTCTCACTGTCTCTCTGTCTCTCTTTCTGGCGAGCGCATGTGCCCTATAGCAAAAACCTCTCCCCCCTCCAAAAAAGAAAAGTGCTCCCAGCCTTCACTATCAAGACCAAAGGCACACCAGCCATATAAGTCTGAAGCATGTTCACATGATGGGTCATCGGCCCTCACCATGAAGGGGGTGAGGGACGCTTTGGAGGACTGGGCTGCCTCTGGAAGGACTGTCACTCTGGTAAATTAAGGAGAAGTGCTACGTGGCTGGGCTGAGAAACAGCTTCAGCGTTTAGCTCTGACATTCATTTGGCAGCAGCGGGGCTGAGGTTTGGGGATCCAGCCTGAGGAAGAAGTCAGTTATCCTAGGCCACAAGTCTGGAGCAGTGGGAGGTAGTCAGGCCCAGGGGAGGTGACTGAGAGCGTCTTGTTCTTATTTCCAGAGCCCCTGCAGCAGCAGGGGACCCTGCACGCCCGCATTACCACACGTCCCACCACATGGGGAGAACTGACATCTCGCAGAGCGTGAGTACTGTCGGTGGTACTCTCAGGAGGTACCGAGTCAGGGACGGTGCTCAGGGACGGTGCGTCCAAAAGAGCCCCATCCTTCCAGCGCTCTATTTTGGGATGTCGCCCTCTGCTGGTGGCCCAGGGGGAACTCAGGGCCCTGGAGAGCTGGGAGAAGTGGAACCATTGGAGTGCTAGGCTAAGGGTGAGGATGGTTTCCTAAGACGCACATCAAGTCAAACGAGGGAAGCAGGTCAGATGTGAAAAGGGCACTGTGCAAAGAGCACAGAGCGACCTCAGGGTTTGGGGGGATGGATGGTGAGGGTAGAGTGGTGATCTTTCTCCCAGGCTGCAGAACAGACTCCTCGAGAATGAAGAGGGTAACTTACCGGTTATGGAAGACGTCAGAGTGGTCAGCTAGAACTACACCGGAGATGTTTCGAGCTCGAAGAAACCGCTGCAGAGAAGAGGGTGGGAGAGCCTGGGACTGACTCAGCCTCCTGAGGACGACAGTGGGGACACCAGTGCCACTCTTCTCCAGGGTGGTCAGGAGGTCTTCCACCTATAGGGACGAAGGGGAGTGACTGTGGGAGGGACACTGGAGAATTAGAAGCAGGAGGTCCCTTTATGCCTGAAATGCTCTGTACTTCACGTCTCCTGTCCATGGAGGGGCTCTGTGTGCTCTGAGATCTACATTCCTCGAGCCTCTCGGGACCAAGGCGCTCCGATTTTCCAGTAGCTCCCACCATCTTTCTCAGAGTGAGATTAGGGTACAACCAAGAGGTCTGTGTTTCGGCCTATTTATAGGTGAACCCCTGTCCTCAGGAGTTCAGTGGACGCTGCACTTCCTGTCTGCTGTGCAGCACTGGGAGGGGCGCATAACAACACAACGCTGTACACCAGCTGCCAGTCACCGGTTCCATGAGCACTGCAGGGGTACAGAGAGGGATGGCCTAACACTGGACCCAGATGTGAGGGATGGTCGTGAAAGAGGTGTGGGGAGGAAGTCGGACCCAGCCAGGACTCAGGCAGGGCAGCGTGGAGAGGAGAGCGCGAGTCCCTCACCTGTCCTTAATAGGCAGTGGCAGTTCATTAGGCACTGACTAGGGAAGCCACGGGATGCCAAGGAGCTGCAGCTGTGTTCACCCCACAGCCAATACCCAATCTGATCCTGTCTCTTGTCTCACAGGCCCAAGGGGTTGGTGTGAACGGGCAGGAGTTGGGGGCATGGGGTTCGTATTCTGAGCTGCTGAAACAGGAAATGAGAGCTGCCCAGGTTACCTGGTTTCGTACAGACTCATTCTTCTGAGACATGGGATCTGTGTGCATCCACAGCTCCAGCGAGGTTCTTAAGGCCACCTGAGCGAGGGTGAAGAAGCAACACTTACCATCGGACTCCTGTTCTGACCCAGGTCCGGGGGCAGGTGTCAAGGAAGAGGTGGCAGGACCTGCTGTGAGGACAGACAGAGAGGAGGGCTGCAGGGAGGAAGGGAGGGGGTGGAGGACACACGCCCACCTGACCCAGCTCCACGAATGCGTCGATGTTCTCTAACTGCACAGGAAACTTGCCCTTCTCCATGTCGTAGACCATTCTCGAGCTGCCGATGTAGTCGAACGTTTCCTGAGGGGTGGAGGGAGGTGGAAAGGAGAACGGGACTTCTAAGGGTCAGGGAAGCCTCAAGGCAGGCCAGGTCATCCAGGCTAGGGACAAGTTTCATGCTGTCTCCACTCAGTCATGGGATGTCTCCACCCCTCCCCAACCCAGTGTGACTGTCCCTCACATGCACGCATCACAGGACTTCTTGAACACCCCCAGCCCTCCTCAACAAACATCAGCTGCTCTGTGCCTGTCTGACTCCCCCACCTCCACAGCCTCAGTCATGCCATTGTGCCCCTATTCTAGGGCCCAGCTGCACTGCCAGTGTGGGGTGAGGGGTGGGGGTGGCTCCTGCAAAGAGCCAGCAGTGAAGGAGTCCAGAAAATTAAAGTAAAAGGATGCCTCTAATAGGTCTTATCAGTGGAGGATGAGGGCGTTGGTACACACCCATCCAAGGCATAGAAGCTTCCAGAAATGGAAGAATCTGAAGGGAAGACACAGGTAGACACAGCCAAAGCTCTGTGCTGATTAACTTAGGCCAAACGCCAAGGTCTTCCCCCATCGACAGCCCCTTGCCTTTCCCAATCCCCTCCTTCCCCACATCCGACCAGCCAGAGAGCCCTCACCCCTTGGAAGAAGACGAACATGACGTTGCGGGGCAAGGTGGCCACGTCGGGGGCCTTCTGCAAAGCCTCAGCTGCAGCCAGCTGGGTGACGAAGGAGGCGACAGCACTTTCCGCCCCCGGGGCCACATTCCAGAAGAAGGAACGACTGTCCAGCTGGGTACAGGAGAAGTGGCAGGGGAGGCGCACCTTAAAACCAGGACTTAGGACAGGCTCCAAGCCCCCTCCTCTGTTCCAACCAGAAGAAACATGTGTCCTGGGCGGCGGACAGAACCCAGGAGTCAGCAGCCTGGATTTCTCTCCACATGAATCATCTCTGAAATCTGACGTGCTCGGGAGTGTCCTGCCCACTCTGTTCCGGCCCTGCCTGTCCTGACCGGGGGCCAACACTCACCCGGGTGGCAGCAACCACAACCTTGTCATCCGGCTCCAACGTCCCTGATGTGTTGATAGGCTTCAGCATGCTCCAGACATTGTAGTCAGACAGAGGGTCACAGACAACTTCTGAGCAGGGCACAGACAGCGAGAGAGCAGCACGGTGAGGCCACAGAAGGTAGGGAAGACTTCTCTGCCTGGCGCCCCGTGGACTCCGTGAGCTGTCCCCTCTACCTCCAATGGCTCCAGGTACAAGTGCCTAAACCGTTCAGAACCATTTCCGCCTCCTGCCCTGGCTCCCTACCTGTGTCCTCGGTCACGCCAACAGCCCCTAGTTACCCCCCTCCCCAGGCTGGCGCACTCCGATCTGCCCTACCTGGGTTGATACTGAAGGTGCTCTGGATGGAGCTGCGCCGCATGCAGGTGGCCGTGCTGACGACAGCGTGCATGTGCGAGAAGAGCTGCATGGCGCACAGTGGGAAGGCGGGAGCCGAGCCGTTCTGACCCAGGTTGTGATCCTGATAGCACTGCAAGGGGAGACGGTTCCCACTGAGACAGCTGGCTGTGCAGCCCTCCCTTCCTTCCCAGTGAGAGGAGGGCCCAGCTGCAGTCTCGGGCCACGCCCTTTGGGGAGACATTTGTTCCTGAGCAACAGTTGTCCTGGTCTACCCACAGGGTCTATAAGGTCAAAGAGAGAAACTCCTTAAGGAATGCAAAGGGCACAGGCTTGACAGCTGCATCAGAGTAGAGATTTCTCCACCCCAAATGGCCTGGCCCAGTGTGGAGCTTCAGCCATGGTTCTTAACATGACTCGAAGGAAAGAGCACCAATGAAAGCTCAAAAAACAGGTTCAAGACAGCCTGGACACCAACTCACCACATAGCTGTGGCCGAATCTCTTAGCTGTTGTGTGTCAAAACGAAACAGCTAGACTAGAATCTGAGAACATGACGGCCAAAAGGAACCTCAGAAATGTCTGCGCTGAATCTCAATTTCTACTCTCATGCCCTCTCGCCAACTAGAGGTTCTTAACCAGGGCCGCAAATAGTTACAGATAATTCTTTCAAATAATCTTTTTATTTCCTTCCTGTCTAAAATCCTTCAGTGTAGCGATATCAGACAGGAGAGAAACGAGAGATGGGAATGTAAGGGAAATCAACTTTTTGGTTCCTTTTTGGGACCACCATCTTTCAGGGAATGCAGGCCTGGAGTAAGGTTTCCTCCGAATAGAACAGGCTAAAAAAATTAATCCTCTTCCTCATCACAATTGCTACAGTTGGCGCCATTACCTGCTTGATGACTTTGGTTTCGTTTTCATCTTCGAGAAGAAAGATGGGGAAACTAAAGTCTTCATAAGCCAAGCCATTGCCCAGGGAGTTCCACGAGACTTCTCTGCAGTGAGCGAACTCGGCCCCATAGAGGTCTGAGTAAACACCTGAAGGGAGATGGGGTGGGGGATAGGCTACTGGGACACCAAGCACTTGGAGACCAGGTGAGGGAGCAAGGTTAGGGATCATAAGGCAGGCTGGGACTGAGAGTTCAAAAGAAGGCAGAGACTCAAACAGGAATGAATCTGTCACCACTCACACTAAAATAGAGAGACGGTGGTATTCAGGAGCCCTGGGTTGGCAACTTAGGGATCTAAGCATGTGACAAGAGGGGATAAAGGATGGTAAGTGGAAGAGGAAGCATGAGAGGGAAGGGATTGTGGCAAAGACCAGGAAACACTATCTTTGTTTAGGAGTCAGTTGCTCACACATGTACCCCTCTCTACCTCCCAAAGACAGAAGACTAAAGCGACAATAAGCCTTGGGTGAGTAGCTCTCCTGGTCCTTCAGGGGTGCTTACCAAACCCATCATTTGGGCACTGCACGCTGGGAGAGAAGCCTGCCGTGGGACTGGGCTTGGTCAAGGACACTGCAAGACCAGCAATTCGGCTGGTTCTCCCCTTCAGCTTCTCCATTACCTCTCTGCAAGGAGGAACACATGAAGGAAGATGGGAAGGAATCACACAGCCCAAGATTCTGCCTCTTTGGCATGGAAACAGAGAAGTATGGGATTTTTCACTTATTTCTTCCTTTTTTGATTTCTAACTTCTGAGTCTGGACAAGGACCTGATGTGAGCTCAGGGCTTAGTTTCATCAACCTTGGCCCTGGGGACCCTTTTTTCCTCCCGGGGGGTCCTTACTCACTAGAGCTCGACGTTTAAGGTCACCAAGATGATTCTGCTGATAAAATAGCTCTCCTCCTGAGGACCAGCCCTGTCCCCTCCCCTGGCCAGACCAGCACAGCCAAGGGATCATGCACAAGTGTGAATCGTTCCCCAAACCCTTCCCTTTCTGCAAGTATTTCCCCAGCAGGTGCATCTAGTTCCTACCTGGTGAAGAGTTTGCCCTCCAGCAAAACCATGTAAGGAGGGTTGGGGCCATCAGTCAACACCCACTTCAGGTCCTCTTCCTTCTCCACTACGTGGATAACCCCTGTGTCCCCACTAATTGAAGCTGCCGAGAGAGAAGTAGTCAAATTAAAGCTCCCACGGTTGACAATTCTGACCTCCTCTTACAAATTCTGTAGATCTCTCATCCCCAAAGATGTCACAACATATCAGGGTGAACACAAACACCTTTGGACTTGAACTGAAAAACTGAGTTGCTCCAGATCCATCTGAAGGTGAGCGGGAGGGGCGAAAGAGCCCAAGAGTACTCATTACTGAGGCCTGTTCGTTAAATGCTGGAAAGGCTCTGTGAGCTTCATCTTTGTGCCCTCTTCCCTTGACCTCATTTGGCCATGTCCATGAGATTCTAGAATAGCAGGCACCAAAGTTTCAAACTGGTATTTTCTCCGGGAAATGCCAGGCTCTAAATCTTCTAGCTCAGAGTTCTAGCTTTTCATCTTCCTATGTGAAAATGTACGTGCCCCTTGGCCTTAGCAGGCTTTGTGGACCACCACTCCGTTGCCCTATTTGGGAATGACTTCACTTGCTTCTGGCTGATTTTACATGAGGTTAATCGTGAACGCTGAGGTCCCAACCAGTAGGCCTTGAATGGATTAGAGATGTGCTGATACTGATTACTGTCATTCCAGGGGACCTGGAGTTTCCAAAATCTCTAGGTTAATCACCTCCAGTCAGGAGCAGACTCATCATTTACCCCAGATTGCCCAACAAATGTCTTTTTTTTTAATTTGCTAGAATATGTACTTGCTGGAAAGAGATAGAGAGAGCAACCCCCATAGGGGATGACCATGATGCAACCCCTTCTCCTCCCACTTCTCTTTTTGGGATTTGGGGCAAGCATGCCCATGCACTCGGCAAGTTCTCCAAGCCATGGGGTCCGGGACTTGTACTATGCAGTTGGCCACATGAGATCCAGACAGCCTAAGCGCCATGCCACTGGCTGGCCTGTCACTCATTTCTCTATGTGCTGGGATCCATGCAAATAACATTTTCTGTGTGTCTCATGAGATGACAATGTTTGGGAAGTACTGCTCTAGAGGATGGATAAGCCAAAGTCCAGAATGCCTCAAATTCTATGCAGTGATACCCCCAAGTTCCTTGTGATCCATGCAGAGACATCTTAACGTCTTCCCACGAGTCCTCTCCCCACTGAAAAATGGATGTGCTACTCTTTTTTATTTTGGAGAGATTTTTGCTAGAGGGCATATGTGTTCACTGAGGGGACAGACAGAAAGTGAGAAATCACTCCCCCATGGGGATGGTCATGCTGCAATTCCTTCTATTCTTGGGGTTTGGGGCCTGCACACACTCACGCCCAGTGCTGAGTTTCAAGCTGCCGGGTCTGAGACTCGAACTGTGGTCGACCATGTGGGAATCCAGCGCCTTAGCCACTACACTACCTGCTGGTCCCAGATGTGTTACTCATTTTAGAGCAGTAGTTCTCAGCAGTGTACTTGCCACATGCGGTCTTTGATTACATATAGTCAGGCATTAGAATTATGATTCTAGACCAAGGCACTGAAATCCTTGTAATTTTCAGGAGACAAAAACCATAAGTACTTCCTGACTGCCAGCCAATCACAATTTTTCCCTCTTAGGATCTATAAAACCTAGACAGGAGGCAGGGTCCCCAACATCCAACTATGTCTTGTATATAATAAATGCTTAACAAGTTCATGTTGATGTTGATAATAATAAAATATGGAAGAATATTGGAGTCTGGGATAACTTTAGTTAAGATCCAGATATCAATGGAAGTCTCACATAAAACAAAACAAAAACAACAGTCCTTACTATAGCACTTAAAACAGGGGAAAAGGAAAAGCTGGTGTGGCAAATAAAAAATACGTAACTTCAGCTCCAGGGAGGACAGAAAGATGATAAGCTATGACACTGGACTGAAGAAAACCAGGACTGCAACCTGGGCTCCAGCTGGTGACTATGCAGTCTAAGCCGTCTTGCTTACTTTTGCTTTCTCTGAGCCGTCAATGAAGTACAGCTTTTCTAACCCCTTTTCATCCCATACAGTGGGGACAGATTATTAAAAAGAAGTAAAGGGAGAAATCTACATATAGCTCCCTTTGAACACTTTAAAGATTCCATTACAAGCAGAGCATTATCATCAGAAAATCGAATTTGAGGCTCATTTTTTCCTCCTTAATTTTACGATGCTAGCAACCCTAATTAGAGGGTGTAGACTTCTCAGAACAGACAGATACGATGAAGTAAGACTCAGAAATAAGTAGGCTGAAAAGGAAACAAGATCTTAATGAGGAAGTGGCCAGAGTCCAGCCCCTCCCTCTTGCTGCTCTGTACTGGCACTTGGCTGTATCTCTGGAGTACTGTATCTTTGCTTCCCACAGGGCTGCTCTCTGAACAGGCAGCAGAACGACTCATTCCCAAAGGGGATTTTTCAGGGCCCAGCTCCAGGAGGATGAGCTTGTGGCCTTTTACACTTAGGCTCCATCAAGACCAGTAGTCTGACCTCAGCCTACACTGATCTGGCTCTCTTTCATGGACAAACCCAGTTTAGAAGCTAAGTGAAAAACAAAACAAAACACACACACACACACACACACACACACACACAATTTATTTTGGGCTGTTTGGAATCTGTTTGTAGTGCTTCTGGAGCAGAGGCATACAGTTTAGACTAGGGAAGGATGGGCAGAAAAGCAGTGGCTGCCTCCCTGAGCAGGCCCGTCATGTCTCAGAGTCTGAGTGTTCCCCTACCAATGGGAAGAAGTTTTAGGCAGTCATACAGGATTCTGAGATCACACTATGTACTCAGCACCATTAATGCACATCTATTACAAGGGAGATCCGCTTTCAGCTTTGTGCACGATGGTCCCAACCATCATTATAGGAACAGACTGAACTAATACATTTGATGATGAAGTCAAGGTCAGACCCTAAGTTTCCTGCTTACATGGAAAACTATACTCTGACAGAATTACTGTACACAAAAAAAGAAAATCTGAAGATAGCAGGCTGAACAGCAAAGGAACTGGGATATAGCTTTCAGATAAGAATCTTCCCCCCCTTGATGTTTATAGTTTGTACTGGGTTGTTGGAAAAGTCATGAGGTATTTTTCTATGCAAAAACGTTTTGACTTTTCTGAAGACCCAATAGAACCAAAGTACCGTGGCAGCCTATTTTAGAACACATTACAAAGTATATAGGTAAATCTGAAAGCTTCACTAATTCCTCTGTAAGTAGGCATTTTCAATGCCTTCTCTTCAAATAGCTGACTGCCTTTAAGAAACCTATTTTGGTTCCAAAATGATCACTGAGGACAAGCTGGTAGCATAGTGGTAATGCATCACTCTGTGATGCTCGACCAACACAGGAAGGTCCCAGGTTCTTGTCCAGGGCTTTCCTGTACACACCAAATGGGATCCAGGGCTGGCTGGGCCTGAGTTACAGCATGAGGACCCTGTCAGGGGTGCCTCTCTCTCTTTTTCATGAAAGAAATACATAAACTTGAAAAAAAAAAAAAAAAACATTCAAGATGTGACGACTGGATTCCATAGACCATAAGATTGCTTTCTCCTTAGAAAACAGTGTAGTAGGATGGTTCATTAATATTCCTTGTTTAAAACTTGGGCCACCAGGTTCAAATTCTAACTTCGTCACTTTTTACCAGAACAATTTTGAGAAAATTACTCAACTTCTTTAAGTTGCAATTTCATAAAATGGCAATAATGACAGAGGCTGTTGAGGTTAAATGAGACGCACATGTAAAAACCTCCATGTGCAGCATTTACTAAATGTTAACTCTTATTAATGATCTTGCCTGGTTTAACAGATACCTCTCCATCACCTCCTATTCCTATAGTCTAATTTGGGTTCCGAGACTCTTAAGCGGGACATGGATCTTCTAGGGCGGAGACTGAAATTTCAACGTCCACAAACATGAATCCCAACCTCGACTCACACTGGCAGCCGATCTGATGAGTGGCATTGAGCAGACGAACACAGGGAGCAGTTTTATTTAAAGGGATGTAGATCTTCCTCTCCACTGAGTTTCCCCAGCACAAACCTGATTAAAAGACAGAAAGTGTTAGAAGAAATTGAGACACACTGCTACTGGCCTCAATTATGTCATCAGCTCAATGTATGATTTGGGTAAATCATTTAATACCAGATGTAAACTCTTTGAGAAGTTCGGGGAAATATGTACTATGAAAAAACCATGCATCGATTTCCAACATTTTAAACATTTTTCGAACCACAATAAACCCATGTTAATTCCTTTTTTCCATAAATGCTTAAAAGTCCCCTCACACGGGTTATTTTTTTTTAAGAGAGATTTTTTGCTATAGGGTACATACACTTGCCAGAGAGACAGAAAGTGAGAAATCACCCCCCAGGGAGAATGGCCATGCTGCAATCCCTTTTCCTCTGAGGATTTGGGGCATGCACACATGTGCCTAGTGTGAGTTTTAAGACCCTGGATCTGGGACTCGAATTACGGTCGGCCATGTGGAAGTCCAGTGATGTCATCATTACATCATCTGCTGGTTCTCCCCCCCACACACACACCTTCTAAAATGGGACTAATGTCCATTCTTTTCACTTAAAAAAAAAAATTTAACTCCATTTTTTGTTTGTTTGTTTGTTTTGCTATAGGGCACGTGCACTCGCCAGAAAGACAGAGAGAGAAAGAGAGATAGAAAGTGAGAAATCACCCCAAGGGGGGATGGCCACGTGGCAATCCCTTCTCCTCCATTCTCCTCTTGGGATCTTGGGCATGCACGCACATGCGCCAGGCGTGAGTTTAAGCCGCCAGGTCCAGGACTTGAACTGCGGTTGACTACATGGGAGTCCAGGGACATAGCCATTACGCTAACTGCTGGTCCCTTTTATTATTTTTTAATTTGAACAGAGAGAGACAGAGCGAATGAGCAAGTGAGGAAGCAAGCTGCCAGGTCCGGAACTCAAACCGAGCAGAGAGAGAGAGAGACAGGGAAAGTGAGAAAGCAAGCTGCCAGATCCAGGACTCGAACTGTGGTCAGCCATATGGGAGTGTCCAGCACCTTAACCACCACGCCACCTGCTGGTCCCCCATTCTTTTCACTTTTAAGGTAGATAAACACTTTATAAATCTGGGCCAGCCAGTGGTGTGTTGGTTAAGGTGGCTGGATCTCACATGGATAGTTCAAGTCCCAGATATCTGGGCTTGAAAAACACTGGGCACATGTATATGTGTGGCCCAAATCCTGAGAGAATGGAGAAGAGACTGCAGTGTTACCATCCTTCAATGTGTGGCAATGCTTTCTCACTCCTCCCCCCTCCAGTGAGTGCAAGCACCCTATAACAAATTTAAAAAGAAAAAAAAAACACACTCTACAAACCACCCAGTTATGTATGTCAGAGGCTATTACAAATTCCTTGTAGGGCGACTGACAGCTACACTAACACAAAACTTGTTTTACTTAAGGAAAAGTATTCGCATGTCCAAGGTTGTAAGAATTAGCACACTTTTTTTTAAGAGAGATTTTTGCTATAGGGCGTGTACTTTCGCTGGAGAGAGAGACAGAAAGTGAGAAATCACCCCCCCCCACCCCCAAGGAAGAAGGCCACACAGCAATCCCTTCTCCTCCATTCTCCTCTCGGGATTTTGGGCATACACGCACATGTGCCAGGTGTGAATTTTAAGCCACCAGATCTGGGACTCAAACAGTGATCGACTGTTTGGGAGTTCAGCTATGTAACCACTGTGCCATCTGCCGGTCCCAGGAGTGAGCACACTTCTGCTTTTCTATCCTGAACACACACTACTAGTTAGTTATAAAAGGGTGTAAAATTAGAAGTTAATTCAAAAAATATTCTGAGACTTTTCAGGAGTCTGAACAGAATTGGGAGAAACCTTATGCGACACCTGTCAGTTAATCTGACATACCTGTGTGTCCACAGTGTGGGGCAGCTAGTGTTTCCTTTGGGAAAAGCAATGTAAACTTGGGGGAAGGCACAGTCTTATTTTGGGGCCTAATCAACTAAAATGCCCTAGTCGGGAAAGCAAACACTTAAGCACATTACAAATACCTAAAGTTCTTTGAATCATTACTTCATAGTCTTCAGTTTTAAGCACCCATAACCTACCTTAGTCTCACTTTACTGAAAAAAGAAACTGAGGCAAGTCACAGGGACACGAGTTTTCGGTGGAATTAGCAGAAGAAAGGAGGAATTTACCTTTCAAGCGCCGCAGAGCACCCACAGAATGAGCCTGTTTTCGTTTTTAAGAGTCTAAACGCGGGGAGGGAAGCTGAACTTTCACACCTGTCCCTTTTGATTGTGGGTGGGGTGGCTGGGGCTGTGCAGAAAACGAGACATCCCGACAAAGTGGGACAGAGTAGGCCTGGAAATCCAGAAGAGGCCCGGATTTGCCCAAGACTGGAAGTGAGGGAGAAAGGACCGTCATGTCCAAGCAAAGGGGGAACTTCTGTCGTGGGAACGAAAGAGAAAGAGGATTTACACGGTGGGGGACAGAGGGGCAGAGGGGACCAGAAGGGAGATGGTGGCGCTCACGGCCGGGCCGATCCGGAAGGTTCCCTATACAGAGAGGAACTCATGGGCGGGAAGGCCTCACCTGCCAGAAGGACGTACAAAGACAGAAGGCGAAGAAGACCCCAACTTCCCGGGTCAGGTCCAGAGCCGCCCCCAGCCGTGGCCATCTTGCCTCTCCGCTGAGCGGAAGCCTCGGCTCCCCTTCTGTCGGGTAGCGGCCTCTCTAGGCAATCACCGGCGTCGTCTCTGTAGCCTGAATTCCGGAGACCGGAAGTTCGTGTCTGGCGGAGCTTCCGGAGGCTGGGGCGGAGGGTCGCTGACGTGGAGGCTTCCGAAGGGCAGCGGGGAGTGGTGGGGCTCCGATTAGGACCTCGGAGTCGGGTGCTTGAAGATGCTAACCAAGTTCGAGACCAAGAGCGCGCGAGTCAAAGGTAGTGGAGAAGAAAAGAGGGAATATGGAGGCTGAATGTCGGGGGCGGGCCCTTCACAGGGAGAGAATGGTCGTAGATGCCGGCCGAATTGGGCCCACTGGTCGAACCCGGAGGCAGACGGGAGGGAAGGACGTATGGCTTGGTTTGCTGTTCCACAGTCCTTTCTTTGGTGTGTCCTAGGGTTTCGATTTACCCAAAAAGCGGTCCCTGCATTGCAGGGGATCCCTAGGTCCGCTCCTATTTTTTCTACTCTTCCCTCTTCTCTCTTGGGGCTGTGCTCCCGACTTTTATTGTTCTCTTAAGACTTGTGACCTGTTATGATGACGTGTTATGTGGAGTGGCCCTGGGGTTTGAGTCTCGACAGAACCTCTGCCACCCGCACCCCAGTCAGTAGCGTTCTGTTTGATGAGCACTGACGACCTCACTTAAGGAGACCTTGACCACGCAGTCTCAACGTCCAGTGCCTCTGCTGGGCCACATTTCCTACCTGGAAATAGGACTTTGAGCTCTGCAGCCCAGTATAGTCAGGGATTAGTGAAGTTGTCAGATAAAATACAGGATGCTTAGTTAAATTTGAATTTCAACTAAACAAAGAATGAATTTTTTTAAGTATTGTTTGTTGTTTATCTCAAATTCAAATTTCACTGGGTATCTTAGCTAACTATGGTATATTAGCTAACTATGGCATCTTCAGAGCTTGAGTACAGGTGGATGAGGGTGCAGCTGACATATGGCCATTGCAACACTAGCCTTTCAGAGTGTTAGAATGGGAAAGGCAGAGAAGTAAGGTCTACTGAGACCTGGAGAAAAATCCTCCTGGAATATTAAGTAAAATGCTAGAAACTTGGTCATTGGAGTCAGATGGACTTGGTCTGAAACCCTGAAATATCCATTAATATGTTGTATAACCTAGGACAACTTATTTAATGTCTCTAAATCCCTTTCCTCATCTGTAACATGTGGTTAATTTATATTCTCTCATAGAGAGAATTAAAAAGAGAATGTATATGGAAAGTGTTTATTGCAGTGCCTGGCATAGTAGCTCAAGAACCAGAGGCCATTATTTCTTTCTCTCTCTCTCCTTTTTTTTTCTTTTTTGAGAGAGAGAATTTTTTTTTCTCCGTAGAGTGCGTATGTTTCTAGAGAGACAGAAAGCAAGAAACCACCCCCAGGAGGGATGACCACGCTGCAAACCCTTCTCCTTCATTTTCCTCTTGAGATTTTGGGCACACATACACATGAGCCTAGCATGAGTGCCAAGGCTCCAGGTTGGTTCTCGAACCGCGATTGGCCATGTAGGAGTTGAGAGAAGTAACCATTATACCACCTGCTGATCCCAAGAGGCCATTATTAATATTCTGAGCAGTTTCTAAGTTTGATAGGAATCTTGGTCATGAAAAATGGTACCATTAAGAGTATCTGGTGGTCGGGAACCAGCAGTTAGCGTAATGGCTATGTCGCTGGACTCCTACGTAGTCGACCGCAGTTCGCATCCCGGACCCAGTGGCTTAAAACTCATGCCGGGCGTGTGTGCGTGTGTGCCCAAGATTCCAAGAGGAGCATGGAGGAGAAGGGATTGTGGTGTGACCATCCCCCCTGGGGGGTGATTTCTCACTTTCTGTCTCTCTTTCTCTGTCTATCTGGTGAGCGCACACACCCTGTAGCGAAAAACTTCTCCAAAAAAAAAAAAAAAAGTATCTGGTGGTGGAACCAGCGGTTGGTATAATGGCTATGTCACCGGACTCTCATGTAGTCAACTGCCGTTCGGATCTTGGACCCAGTTGCTCAAACTCATGCTGGGCGCGTGTGCACCCAAAGATCCTGAGAGGAGAGAGGAGGAGAAGGGATTGTGGTGTGGCCATCCCCCTGGGGGGTGATTTCTCGCCTTGTGTCTTTATCTTTCTGGCGAGTGCATGCACCCTATAGAAAAAACCTCTTCAAAAAAAAAAAAAAGAGTATCTGGGGGACCAGCCAATGGTGTAATGGTTAAAGCAGTTGGACCCCACATGACCAACTGTGGTTCAAATCCTGGATCCTGCATATTGAAAAACACGCTGTGTGTGTGTGTGTCCAAAATTCCAAAAGGAGAAATAGAGGAGAAGGGATTGTGATATGAACATCCCTCATGGCAGATACTTTCTCACTATCTCTCTCTGTCTTGCTCTGGTGAGCACACATGCTTATAGCAAAAAAAAATATATGACATATAGGAAAAGGAGGAAGGTTGGGAATAAATTTTAAAAAAGGAAAAGAAAAATAATAACATGAACTTGGATGGTTGAAACAGATCTCCATAATACTTGCGTTTTCTCCTAGTTTATTGTTTTATTCATGATAGAGTGCATGTAACATGAGAGCAAGAGAGAGAGAGAAAGAGAGGAGAAATGGGGACCCTCTACAGGGTCTGGTCATGCTGTGATTCCCCTTCCTCCAGTCTTCTAACCTGTCAAATCTTGGGCACCTGCACGTGTGCCCGCCATTTCTGGCTGACTGGCTGGGGATTTTTTTTTTTTTTTAATAGAGGGTTTTTTTTTTTCTGTTGTTGTTGTTGTTGTTTTTTAATGTTATTCATTCATTTACTTTAATTTGACCAGAGAGAGAGAGAGTGGAAAAATGAGAAAGCTAGCCACCAGATCCAGGACCCTAACCGCGATAGGCCACGTGGGAATGTCCAGCACCTTAACCACCACACCACCTGCTGGTCCCACTGGCCAGAGATTTGAATGGAGGTCACTGTGTAGGGGCTCTGGCTTCTCTTGAACAGCACATTACCTCTGAGCCATGGAACTGGCCTTGTCTCCTAATTTCTTGTTAAATAAAGTTAGAATAGTTGAGAGTTAAAACCCATTAATGAGGGTTCCTATAAATCATAAAGGGAAAAAAATGGACAATCTAAAGGGAAAATGGATAATTTATAAGAAAAAAATGTAAATATTTGATAAATAGTGAAAATAACTCCATCTCACTAATAATGGAAGAAATGTAAAAATACAAGTTAACTGTTTTTGGTCCTAGATGAGTAAAACAAACAAGTAACAGATAACTACTAAACATTCTATGTTAGTAGATAATGTGTGCAAAATAGGTAAATTCTCAGCTCTTCTTTCTCTTCATAAACTTGGTGAGACTGTATATTGATACAGTCTGTATATTAATACAATGTTTTTACAAATAAATAGCATCTACCAAAATGTTAAATACCCATGCTGTATTGCTGAGCAATCCTTCTTTGAGGTCTTTAGCTTAAAGCAGTTATAATGGGGACCAGCAGTTAGCATAGCATAATGGCTATGTTGCTGGACTCCCATGTAGTCGACTGTGGTTCAAGTCTCGGACCCGGCGACTTAAACTCACGCTAGGCGTGTGTGCGTGTGTGCCCAAGATCCCAAGAGGAGAATGGAGGAGAAGGGATTGTGGCGTGACCATCTCCCCTGGGGGATGATTTCTCGCTTTCTATCTCTCTGTCCCTCTCTGTCTTTCTGGTGAGCGCACGTGCCCCATAGCAAAAACCTCTCAAAAAAAAAAAAAAAAACCCAGTTATAATGCAAATAGACTAGGTTATGTGTGGCAGTATCTTCAACAGGTCCCCATGACATCCAACAATTGGAGGAAATTTTTAAGTAACTATCAGAATAATTTAAAAATTTCATGTTTATACCTTCCAGTTGTTGAAAGGGATGAGGTTATGTTTACATGCATTAATATATAGTACCATCTATATAACATAGTTACGTGAGAAGACAAGTTTGCAGAATGTTACAATGTGATCCCAATTTTTAGAAAATAGTAAGACATATATTTACACAAAACTGCATTAAAAATAGGAAAGGATACACTCCAAACTGTTTATAGATTTTTTACCTCTGAGGACCAGATTACCCTCCCATCTTACACAGCCACCTTACAGAACTGAACAAAAATGTGTGAAACAAGGTTTTCAGACACTGAACAACAAAAAGGCAGTACAGGAAAATGATTTTTGAGAGAAAGGAGATAAACAAGGTGAATTACAGACATTCTCCAGACTGTAGTGAAGAAAGTTAGAAAAACCCTGTGGTCTTGGAGAACATATAGTTTAGAGTTCAGTGAAGCAAAGGTTGCTAGAATTTGTCAGAGAAGAGGGAACTGCACGGAGAACAGTGAAGATCTGCAAGAGGTTCCCTCAGGCCTTTGAGCACTGATGTACACACGCACATCAGAAAAGAAGTGTTGGGAAGGAGAAGGCAGAACAGTCCCTAGAGCTCACACAGGGCTGGGGCTAGTTTGTGTTCCCGCCAGTCAAAATGGAAAGACATTACAGGGTATCACATGGAGACCGCATGCAGACTTTACCTTGAGAGTGGTTCCAGACTGCACCTTGACTGACGGCTACCGTGTACTCACTGTAACACAACCTAAAAGCAAGCCTCAGCTGATTCCAAGTAACTTAACTGCTCCTAGGACAAAGTCCACCAGTATGTAAAAAACCCAGCACCTAACAACAAGATCACAATGTGTAGCATCTATTATAATAAAAATCATCAGACATGTCACATGCATGAGTGAACCTGAGATTAACCTAGCTCTTACAGGAATTGACAGGAGGTGACATCATGGTAGCTCATTGTATCATTTTCTCTTTTTGTTTTGTGTTTCAGGGCTCAGTTTTCACCCCAAAAGACCTTGGATCCTGACTAGTTTACACAATGGGGTCATCCAGTTATGGGACTATCGGATGTGTACCCTCATTGACAAATTTGATGAACATGATGGTAAGATAGTTTCTAGGAAGAAGTCGAAAGAGATAATGAGTATTTATTGTCTTCTGGGACAGTTTAAGCCTGATGTGACATGGATTCTTTTAGGATTAAAGAACGTGGAAGGATAGAACTGAAGAATTCTGAGCAGGTACCGTGTTAGAGATTAGAAAGTCTCTAACATGCTTTGCCTGCTTTCTCCCCCAGGTCCAGTGCGAGGCATTGACTTCCATAAGCAACAGCCACTGTTTGTCTCTGGAGGAGACGACTATAAGATTAAGGTACAGAGGGTCTGACTGGGAATTAGGGTCAGAAGGGTGTGGGAAGGCTTGGGGATTTTGGAAGAGACTAAAACTAGAGGCAAATCATTCATACAGAACTTGGGCTTTTGACAGCAGTATGCAAGGCATTTATCCAGCAAACATCGGATGCTTCCTGTATAACAGGCACTGTTTTCTTTTTTGGGAATTCAAAACCCAGTGAAAAATAGCTTTGTTCTCAAGGAGGTTTTATTCTAGTATGGGAGATAAAGACATGCCCAACTAATAGCTTGTGTAGTTTGGTGAGTGATACGATGGAGAGAGAGTCACAATATGTAAGAAAGCATTCCAGGTACAGAGATGAAAAGCAGGTCATAGCTAGATACCTTTGAGAAACTAGTTTTGTTTGGAGAAAAGGCAAGAGAAGGAGCAGAAAAGAAGAGAGAGTACACCATGGAGAGGCTGTCTTTAGTGCTCAGATATTTGCCTGTTATGGTACAGCTAATAAGCAGTCATTAAAGGGGAGTAAATATACATGTGATATCAGATTTTCTTTATTTCGATTTTAATATTTTTTTCATTATTATTTTCTTTATTTTATTCATCATTATTATTTTTAATTTGACCAGAGCAACACACACAGAGAGAGAGAAAGAGAGAGAGAGTGAGAAAGCAAGCAGCCAGGTCCGGGACTTGAACTGTGGTCAGCCATGTGGGAATCCAGCACCTTAACCACTACACCACCTGCTGACCCCTCAATTTTAATATTTAGACCAGTGAGAGAGAGAGAAAGTGAGATAGCAAGCTTCCATATCCGAGACTCAAACCACAGTTGGCTATGTGGAAGTCCAACTCATTAACACCATGCCACCTGCTGGCCCCTTATTGTAATGTTTCTAGTATAGGATTTGTTATTTTGTAGTAATGAACATTGAGTCTCAAGAATGGTTAACTCGGATTTCTTTTTCTTTCTTTTTTTTTTTTTTTCTTCAATTTGCTTTAGAATGTGTGTGTTTGACAGAGAGAGAGACAGTGAGAAAGCACCCTCCAGGGGGATGGCCGTGCCACAATTCCTTTTCTATTCTTCTCTCAAGATTTTGGGCACACACACACTTTTTTTTGGGGGGGGGGTGTTGCTATAGGGCGTGTGCACTTGCCAGACAGAGAGACACAGAGACAGAAAGCGAGAAATCACCCCCCAGCGGGGATGGCTATGCCACAGTCCCTTCTACTCCATGCTCCTCTCGGGATCTTGAGCATGCACGCACATGCGCCCGGTGTGAGTTTAAGCCACCGGGTCCAGGACCTAAACCGTGGTTGACTACATGGGAGTCCAGCGACATAGCCATTATGCTAACTGCTGGTCCCCGGCACACACACACTCATGCCCAGTATTGACTTCAGTTTGCTGGGTCCCAGACTCAAATCACACAGTAGGCCAATTGAAATCCAGCCACTTTAACTACCACACCCCCACCTCACCCAACTTGGGTTTCTTATAATCTGTTTTAGAAAAGAGACTGAGTGTCTTTCTTTCTTTAATTTTCTATATGGCATCTGTGCTTACCAGAGAGACACACACTCATGCCCAGTATTGACTTCAGTTTGCTGGGTCCCAGACTCAAATCACACAGTAGGCCAATTGAAATCCAGCCACTTTAACTACCACACCCCCACCTCACCCAACTTGGGTTTCTTATAATCTGTTTTAGAAAAGAGACTGAGTGTCTTTCTTTCTTTAATTTTCTATATGGCATCTGTGCTTACCAGAGAGAGACAGCAAGAGAGAGAAAGTGAGAGAGCACCTCCATGGGGCTGGCCACACCGCAATCCCTTCTCTTTTCTTCTCCTCTTGGTATTTTGGCCACAAACACACATGCCTGGTGTGTCTTTCAAGCCATCAGTTGGGTTCTCAAACCATGTAGTTAGCCATATGGAATCCAGCTACCTTAACTATCATGCCACTGGCTGGCCCAGACTATGTACCATTTAAGGGAAAAAAGTATTTTTTCCAAAGTGATTATTTTTTTTGGGAGAGGTTTTCACTATAGGGCGCATGTGCTTGCCAGACAGACAGTGAGAGACAGACAGCGAGAAATCACCCCCCAGGGGGAATGGTCACGCCACAATCTCTCCTCCATTCTCCTCTCGGGATCTTGGGCACGCATGCACACACCGGGCGTGAGTGTTAAGCCACCAGGTCCGGGATGCAAACCACGGTCAACTACGTGGGAGTCCAGCGACATAGCCATTATGCTAACTGCTGGTTCCCAAAGTGATTTAATATTTTTAAAAAGGAATGTCTTCCATATACGTGAACTGTCCAGATTAGGTAAATCTATAGAGACAGAAGTGTATTAGTGGTTGTCTAGAGTCAGGAGGAAATGAGGAATGACTGCCAATGGGTATAATCTTCTTTTAGGGGTAGTAAGAAGTGTTCCAAAATACAGGGTTATGTACCATTTAAGGGAAAAAAGTATTTTTTCCAAAGTGATTATTTTTTTTGGGAGAGGTTTTCACTATAGGGCGCATGTGCTTGCCAGACAGACAGTGAGAGACAGACAGCGAGAAATCACCCCCCAGGGGGAATGGTCACGCCACAATCTCTCCTCCATTCTCCTCTCGGGATCTTGGGCACGCATGCACACACGCCTGGCGTGAGTTTTAAGCCACCAGGTCCGGGATGCAAACCACGGTCAACTACGTGGGAGTCCAGCGACATAGCCATTATGCTAACTGCTGGTTCCCAAAGTGATTTAATATTTTTAAAAAGGAATGTCTTCCATATACGTGAACTGTCCAGATTAGGTAAATCTATAGAGACAGAAGTGTATTAGTGGTTGTCTAGAGTCAGGAGGAAATGAGGAATGACTGCCAATGGGTATAATCTTCTTTTAGGGTAGTAAGAAGTGTTCCAAAATACAGGGTTTTATTGTGGTGATGGTCGCACCACTGTGAGTATACTAAAAGCCATCGAATTCTATACTTTAAGTGAATAAATTGTACTGTATTTGAATTATTTCTCAATAAAACTGTTTCTAAAATAAAATCCTTTATTAATTAGCAGGTGGGTGTTAGTGTACGATGCCGTGGTTTTAATATGACTAATAAAGTTGAGAAGTTTCATAAAACGGGGGATTATCTAGAAAAGTCATGTCTATGGATCATTATAGTGCTTGCTGTGTCCAGATGAATATAGTGTTAATATAATCTTCATTCACAAAGTTAGGAAGCCCAGCAAATAGCCAAACTTTGGTCTAAAAACCTTATAGGTCTTTCTGAATTCATAGTTCTAGAGCTTGATAGAGAACATTAAAGGGACCAGCAGTTAGCATAATGGCTATGTTGCTGGACTCCCATGTAGTCGACTGCGGTTCATGTCCTGGACCCAGTGGCTTAAAACTCACACCGGGCACGTGTGTGTGCGTGCCCAAGATCCCGAGAGGAGAATGGAGGAGAAGGGATTGCGGCGTGGCCATCCCCCCTGGGGGGTGATTTCTCGCTGTCTCTCTGTCTCTGTCTGGCGAGTGCACGCGCCCTATAGCAAAAACCTCTCTAAAAAAAAAAAAAGACAGTTTGAAACTAGAAATATGAAAGTTTAAAACAGTGAACTGTATTGGGGAAGAGTTAGTTAAAGAATAGCTTTTATAGGACCAGCAGTTAGTGTAATGGTTATGTTGCTGGACTCCCATGTAGTCGACTGCGGTTCATGTCCTGGACCCAGTGGCTTAAAACTCACACCGGGCACGTGTGTGTGCGTGCCCAAGATCCCGAGAGGAGAATGGAGGAGAAGGGATTGCGGCGTGGCCATCCCCCCTGGGGGGTGATTTCTCGCTTTCTGTTTCTCTGTTTCTCTGTCTGGTGAGTGCACACGCCCTATGGCAAAAACCTCTCAAAAAAAAAATATAGCTTTTATGGTATGATTTAATTTTTGTGTGAAGCTCCACTGTGTACCTGTAATTTGCATATAGATGATCAAACAGATGGAGGTGAAGGCATTGGAACGCTTTCACTTTTCATGGTATTTACCTGTTCTCACTACAAACATACTCACTGAGAACCTACCCAGTATCAGCTACTCTATTATGTGCTAAGGTTTTAATGTTGAGTGTGGTGAACAAGGACCCTGCCTTTAAGGAGCTTACATCCTTGTTTGCAAAGATCTAACTTTTGGGCCATGTGAATTTGTTACAGGAAATGATAGACTTTTTGTAATTTGTATAGTGCTTTTTGTAGCAATGAGCTGCAATCAGTCTGCGTGAGCATGAATACAGAGGGAAATGTGTGGGTGTCATTTACCTCTCAGTTAGGAATCTAAGAAGATAATGTTATACGTTATATTATTGTTTCCTTGGAAGTCTTGATATCTGGCACACTTTTTTAAGGTAATAAGTGAAGGGTTAACACAAAGTGTACAGTAGAAAGAAGAGTTTCAAGTTAAATGTTTAGTGTGTCTTGTGTAAGTATTTTGACTCCTGTTATTAAACAAAGATGGTTTCTTGCCAAAGAAAGAAAAAACCTTCCCATAATTTTATCTTTAATTTTTCTTTAATCTTATCCCTCTATTGCTTATCTGACCTTAATTTTATTTTTAATTTTATTTTTTTTAGTTATTTTCTGTGGGGTGTGTGCACTTGCCAAGGAGAGACCCAGAGAGAGGGAAAGTGAGAAAGCACCCCTCTGTGGGGATGACTACACCAGAGTCCCTTCTCCATTATTCTCTCAGGATTTTGGTTATGCATGTGCTTGTGCTTGTTGTGTTTCCCAAGTTGCTGAATCCAAGACTTGAACCGGGACTTACTGGCCACGTGGGATCCAGTGCCTTAATCACCATGCCACCTGCTTGCCCAGTCGACATACATTTGTTTGTTTGTTTGTTTATTTATTTAGCTAGCTAGCTAGCTAGCTGTAGGGAATATACACTCACCAGAGAGAGACAGAGAAAGGAAGAGAAAAATCACTTCCCAGAGATGATAGACATGCTGCAGCTCCTTCTCCATTCTACTCTTGGGATTTTGGGCATGCACACACGTATGCCTGGTTACTGGGTTTAAGACTTGAACTATGGTCTACCATGTGGGAGTCCAGTGCCTTAACCACTACGCCACCTGCTGGCCCAGCCTTTATTTTTATCCTGGATCTTTTTTTCTCTAATGTTCAATAGACTCCCTACCAATGGTCCTACCTATTTAGAAATGCTAAAATGTGAATTTAAACCTCTGAGTTTTTCAAAAGCCCAAGACCATTGTTTCCTGTTTCTTAGCTGGATTTCTGTCTTTGCAGGTTTGGAACTACAAGCTTCGGCGCTGCCTTTTCACATTGCTTGGGCACTTAGATTATATCCGCACCACATTTTTTCACCACGTAAGTAGCCATGGTGGTGCTACTTTGGGAATGTTCTTCAGTTTCCAGATAGTAATCTGCTTGACCCTCACGAACCCACACGTTGTATGCCATTATGTCATTGGTATGACTCTTCTAGGACTTCTGTGGTGTTGACCTTTCTGCTTTGTTCCCTTCAGTAAAAGGTAGCACTCAGGGCTACACTGAATCTAATCTCACTGGACTCAGTGGGCTCTGTGAGGAAGTTGTCTTCTCAGGGAAAAGTGGGATTTTGACTTGGGTTTGCTGAGCTAGCAAACAAAATTTTACAGGCTAATCCCATGTAGGGTATTACTAGTAAGTAACAGGTATGTACTGAAGAAAGTCAAGCAAACATGCCATTTTGATAAGCCAATAAACCTTGAAGAATTAAGAATCATGTCCCTCTATCCTAGGATTTTAGGATCTGGTGGAGGCCGTTCCCTTAGCTAGGCCTACTACCTGTGTGCTGTCAGTTGTCATAGTAGGCTTAGCTGCTAAGTAACAGATCAGAGACTCCCACCCTCCTTATCTAAGCCCACCCTAACTGGATCTCCTTATAATCCTATGCTCTGAATTTACTTATACTATTTTTGATTATCAGTAAAATGAGTTTCTTTAATTAAGAAATAATATAATGAAGTAACCAAGAATTTACTTATCAAGTATACTTTATTTCCATTTTTAGCATTAAAAATTTTTAGGAGAAAATGACAATATTGCAGTGGAAACATTTGCAGTGGTTACAATGGTAACCACTCAGTGAAATAATCTATTAGGTAGGAACTATTTGTCATTATCATAAAGACTTCCAGAAAATTCCTGCTATCTACCTGGAAAGTTATGAAAAATCTCATTTTCTTTTTTTTTCTAATATGTTTGTGCCTTGTACTATGATTGCTAGGCTCTATTCTATTGTTTTCGGTTACTGAGACTTGGAAACTTCTTGAAACTGGAAGGTCACAGAGAGGTCAGTAGAGTTAAAGGAAGAAAAGCCTTTCATAGGATCTTAATTGACAGGTTTAACTATACATAAATATAAATGTACATGCACACATGCATATATATAAAAGTAAAAGTAAATGTATATTATAGTATTAGAGTGTTTTTTCTCAGATCTGTTATGCTTCTGTGTGGCTTCCATCATTTTTGTTTTTCTGCTGCAGAATATGGGTGCTCACCAGAGAGAGAGGGAGAGAAGAGGGAGGGAGGGAGAAAATGAGAAAGCAGTACTCCCAACCCCTCTAAGGGGGATGACCATTGCCATCATTCCTTCTCCATTTTACTTTGGGGATTTGGGGCATACACTCCTGGCTCCAGGACTGATACAGAGTCAGCCACGTGGGATCCAGCATCTTTACTGCCACACCACTGGCTGGCCCCTGGTTTATATTCTTAAATGTCATAGGTGCAAGTGTAAAATTGAGGAAGACGGGTAGAGTGGTAGAGAAGACAGCCCGCCTGGTATCAGAAGCAGCAGCTCCTTTGCTGATATAGCTGAGGTGTTAGGCAATGGAATTATCCCTTAAAGAGAAAAACTGCTCCAGGAGCCTGACACAAGTTTGTCTGGAATCTCTTTCAGGAGTATCCATGGATTCTGAGTGCCTCAGATGATCAGACCATCCGAGTGTGGAACTGGCAGTCTAGAACCTGTGTCTGGTAAAGCAGGGGGTGAAGGCTCAAAAAGAGCCTTAATGTTTCATAACCATCTCTCTTTTTTTTTTTTATAAGTTACATCTTTATTTTCCAGAAGCAAAAATAACAAGTGGCAACTTGCCTTTGTAAAAGACATTAAAGAATATCAGAGTAATAAGCTATCTATCTCATGGAGACAGGAGCCTCAGAAAGATTATTATACAAGTTTCAAAGAAAGTCCTATTAAATAAATCTCAGGATGATGCACTTTTAGCTGAATCAACAAAACAACCACAACATCAAAAAATTATACAGAACTCATAAAGTGGTATGTGAAGAAGGAAATGGAAAATCCACGTACTGAAAGTTCTCTATAGCAACCATGAGGCTCAAATCTGTTTCTTTTTAAAAATATTTATGGATAGAACTGTGTTTTTCTATATGTTTCATTAGTGATACTCAGTCTTGTAAGTCTGGTTCCATAATAATCTATAATGTAACTACTTCCATCTGAAGGTCCAACAATCTGCATTGAAATAAGAATGAAATCAATTAGGCTCCCAATTCCACAAAACCCTACTGTGCAAAACTTTAACAAACCCAAGGCAGGGTATCCAAGGTAAAACCGATCTGCTCCCAGCCATCCAAGAAAAAGAGACAATGCAACTGCCACTTTGTATGAATAGCCATTTACATTTCGGCAAGATATCATAACCATCTCTTTAGGACAGTTAGCTCTCTCCACATGGGCCATGTCTGCTGATTAATTACTGATTGTATTTATAGATACTTTTAAGTGCAAAATGGTAAATATAGAGGTAGTATTATTAATAATGTATGAAATCTGGATGTTCTGATAATTTTCTATCAGAGAAAAGAGGTCCTATAACTAGATGTTTAGAATAAGAACTTTTAGTTGCTTTTCAATTTTTCAATCAGTAAAATCTGATTCAAGGTCTAGACTTCTGTCCTGCTTTGTGTTTAGGGCTAAATCCTTATATAGAACTTTACATGGAGAGGTGAGACAGCCATTTAAAATGATGTCATGTAAGAAGTTTATCCTTCTAAAATTTAGCAGATAATTTTTGGTATGGATTACTAATATTCCTTTTGTTCTGATATTTAATATGCCTTTAATCTGATAAGAGAGCTATGCAATCTCAGGTCTCCTGATACTAGTAATTTAGGTTGAGTATCCCTAATCTGAACATCAGAAATCCAAAATGCTACAAAATACAAAACTTTTTGAGTGCCAACATGATGCCAAAAGTAGAAAATTCCACACTTGACCAGAGTATGGGTATAAAGTACATATAAACCTGTATGAATTTTGTGTTTACGTTTGTTTATCCCTAAGATATCTCATTATGTATATGCAAATATTTCCCCGAATCAGAAAATCTGAAACACATCTGGTCCTTAGCATTTCTGATACGGGCTACTGAGCTTTATTTAAATACAAAAGCGTTAGATGCAAGAAGAGAGCTGCTATTAGAACAGCTGACCTTTCATGTCACTATCAGTTCAGAATTACCAGGATGACTTATCTTTTCCTTATTAAGTACAATTAATAAGGATCTACTGGATTTGGGGAAAGCATTTAGCTTCGGATTCTGTTGATTACCAGTGCTAATTTGGTATTGTATTTTGTTTTCCCTTGCAGCGTATTAACTGGGCACAACCATTACGTGATGTGTGCTCAGTTTCACCCCTCAGAAGACCTGGTGGTATCAGCAAGCCTGGACCAGACTGTTCGCGTTTGGGATATTTCTGGTGAGCTGCCCAAGTTCAGGGGACAACCTGGTCATGTCTGGCACAAAACTGCAATTGCTTAAAGCAGTGATAGTAGTTGGCTTGGAATAGGAAACTTTTAAGAATATTTTGTTCCCTTGTAAGAGCATCTTTGTTTTTGAGGGTATTGAATTTGCTTTGATGGTTTTTCTGTTAGAGATAGTCTCTAAGAAAAGTGGTTACTCTAGAAAATTCATTTAATTTGAATAAATCTTTTTACTTAAATTAGTTTATAATTAAAAATCTATATGTCATTGAGGGACTTGATTAAGAATCATACTTTTCATTCTAATAAAAAATTTGTCTTTCATAGAAAGTTTGACAATAGAATATTGCTCGGATCTTTTTGCTTTATTTAGAAACAGGAAAATCCTGTTAGCTTTTTTCTAATGTAAGGAGCATGATTGGAGGAGAGGGAATTGATGATTTTATGTCCAGAATATTGTTTATTTTCCAGAGGGTACCTATGCTCACCAGAAAGAGAGGGTAAGATGGAGAAAGTGTCCCCCAGTGAGATGTGATCACAGTACAGTCCCTTCTCCTTCCTTTCTCCATCATGTCAGGATTTGAGGCATACACACACAGGTGTTCTGGGGTGTTTTTCACATTTTCAGGTCCAGGACTTGAATCACAGCCAGCCATATGGAATCTAGCTCCCTTAACCACAAGGCTACAGGGCTGGCCTTGTCTAGAATACCTTTTAGTGGCAGACTTTTAGGGCTAGAAATTAGATTTGTGGATTTTGGAGAACTGGAATATTGACTTTTTACAGTTTATGAAGGGGACTTCAAAACTTTGTGGAAAAATGGAAATAAAGTGTAGGTTTTGTTTGGGGCAAAACAAATTTTAAATCTATGCATGGTTTTTTCATAATACACATTTTCTATGAACTTTTTGAAGACTCCTCATAGATCATGATTTTAAGGTGAGGATTTACATGTTTAGTGCTGTGTAGAGAAGTTATAAGAAGTTGCTACTGGAAAGTTTATGTGCAGGGGAAGGACCGTCCCTCTGAAATAGATGGAAGTGCTTTGTGAGACTTTAAATGTTATTTTCTGCTTAAATTTATTTAGCACTTGCTGAATTGTCTATATGTTGCCTTAGAAATTCTTGGAAGTTAAGTTCTCTAGTAGGTCAATGGCTAGACTATTGAACAGTGTTTTCATTCTATAATAGGAAGGCCTTCTCCTAGGTGTTTGCCTCGTTCTTTGGGATAAAAGGAATCACCCTTCTGCATTGTACAGCTGAGGTGATAAGTTTACACAGATCCCTTGTGGAACCGTGGCTATGTCAATGTAACACTTGGTGTTCTTACCAGCCAGTAAGGCAAAAATTTGGATTCCTGCATATAGCGTTTGGAATGTTGCAATAGCAGTTGTTGAACATTCGTGTAGCATAGAAACAAGAGGAGATGGGGGCAGTTAGATAATAGAGCTTCTAGATCATGCTGTCTCTGCAGTTTTCAAAGGTTTAGGATTAGAAGGGAGTGGCATAAACCAGATTGTATTGGGGTTGTACTCTCTTTTTCTGGGGCTTTGCCATTGCAGTTTTTTGCCAGACTGACTAGGCCTTTTGCAGTACACCCAGATGTGACCAGCCATGCCAACAGGAGGAGCAAGGCACAGGCATCGTGACTTGTGCCCTGTCCTCACTGCCAGTACCAGGAAGCTTAGCATCCACTCTCTCTGTAACCTAACTGTGTTTCCTCTATGCCCCCCCCACTGTGTGCACATTCAAAGCATCCTCTCTGTCTCTGATATAGGAGCCTAATGGGGTTGGACTTCAGCTCATGCTGTTCCAGCTGATCAGGGTAGTTATGTGGTATAGCCTTCCCTCTTCTGGATTCTGAGTAGACTAAGTGCTACAGAAAGTGCTTTGAGTAGCTGTTTTCTCAGTTTCTCCAAGAAAGGTGTATTGCTAATGCCATTCTATTAATAGATCACAGAGAAGTTAATCTGTTACATCCCAAAACTGTTGTTTTCAGGCATTGGGGCTAAATTCTCTTACAGAGCACTGGGTTGAGAAGGGCCATGCACAGTGTGTTCCCTGTGGTCTAACTAAAGCAGTTTGGGGCAGTCAGGTGGTTGGGTTCTTACTGATGATCATGAAATGCCTGAGGCAAGAAATACTTTACCGTTTTCAGTTAGAGAACATGATTGCATCAGAATTAAGGGCCCTATATCGGAGAAGAGAGGGAGAGGGTGTGACCCCTGTGGGGTTCTTGCTTGTGAATGTGTGAAGTGCATGATTACTATATAATAGCATTGCAATCGTTATACTGAGTATATGTGATTGAATTTTGTGCTAACTTGCTGTACTAATGTTAATGGTCTCTTTTCCGTTTCTAAGTGTTTTTATCTACTCACATCTCTCTCAACTTCCAGTAACTCTTTAACCACAGTGCAAGGAGATGCTTTGGTATTTAACCAGGTAGAAGGAGTTTTGGGTTAGGCTTTCGCATGTATTGTTCCTTTTCTAGAAATTAGTATAATCGTTTTTGCTTGGATTCAAATATATCTGAACACAGGAAAAGGAATTAGCCTATGTCTTAATATAATACCTCTTCCATGAGCATTGAAACCCACAGGGCTTAGCTTAACCAGAATCTTTTGTATTAGTCTGGTTTAAAAAAAAAATCTTTAAAAGAGAATATATGCACAGCCTAGGTATAGAAGATACTTTTATTAGCTTGAGCTTCCAAGTAAACTGACAGTTAAATCATTTTAATGTGCTTATCCTTTTGCATGTCAAGCCCATGTAATTCTGGCTCAATCTCTGAAACGACTACTAAAAAAGTATTAATTTGCTGCCAAATCCTGTCCTCATCCCTCTCTCTTTCCTGCTTCCCCTGGTCCCCATTGGGAGGCGTACATTAAACTGGTCCATTCTGAGAGTGTCCTCTTCCCCCTCTGGATTTGGGTAGCTGCTGTAGAAATTTTCCATCTGTCGTTCAGTCCTAGTGAGTGGCTTGTCGAAGGCTCAAATATTTCTTCTCTAAGTATCTTTTCACTGCCTGTCACTATTCATCTGTCTGGTTTTGCCCTTCCCCTTTTCCTGGATCATTACACGCAAGTGCAACAAAGGCGTCCATTCTGTCAGCAGCTTTCCTTTTAATGTGTTTGTTGAAGCTTATTGGAGGTGAAGTTCCTCACAGCTGTCTGTCTTTGTATCTTCCTTTGAATCTGTTTCTTACACCGACTCATTAGAAAAAGTTGACAGATCCTATTAAAGGGACAAGTGAAATAAGTGAAAGGAGGCATCCCTGTAATAATGTATTTATGAAGCTTTGGGAGAGTGCTTTTTTTTCTTTTCTTTTTTTTCTTTTAAGTTTCAGCTTTTTTTCTCTCTTCCTATTGGCTAAATGCTCATCTTGGGCAGGAAACAAGATAATTAAAACTGTTGTGGCCTTTTAAGTTCTTGCTTCTCCGATGCTGATGTGTAGGTGCCCCTCTAACAGAGAGATTATTTGTAAGTTTAAAACTGAGTGTAAATATAGTCATTAAACATGTCTTCATATTTTCCTATGGATGCCAAAATTTAGGCCTGGAACTACTGTATGTTTCAATGATAGGCTTTATTTTCTATTATAAATAATTGTCTTTTGTTTTTTATTCTACAGGTGGTAGGTAATTTCATCTGCCACTCCCCCTCCTTCAGTAATTCAAAATATCAGATTTTAGTCCCAATTCTGTTTTCTAACTTATAAACTGGTATAATAATACCCACTGGTTGGGACCAGCAGTTGGCGTAATGGCTATGTTGCCGGACTCCCACGTAGTGGACCACAGTTCGCATCCCGGACCTGGTGGCTTAAAACTCAGGCCGGGCGCGTGTGCGTGTGTGCCCAAGATCCCAGGAGGAGAATGGAGAAGGGATTGCGGCGTGGCCATCTCCCCTGGGGGTGATTTCTCGCTTTCTGTCTCTGTCTTTCTGGCAAGTGCGTGCTCCCTATAGCAAAAACCTCTCCAAAAATAAATAAATAAATAAATAAACGTAACTTGCTTATCTCAAAGGGTGGTTGTCAGGGGAACCAGCAGTTAACTGCTGGCGTAATGGCTATGTTGCTGGACTCCCACGTAGTCGACCACAGTTCGCATCCCGGACCTGGTGGCTTAAAACTCAGGCCGGGCGCGTGTGCGTGTGTGCCCAAGATCCCAGGAGGAGAATGGAGAAGGGATTGCGGTGTGACCATTCCCCCTGGGGGAGTGATTTCTCGCTTTCTGTCTCTGTGTCTCTCTCTGTCTGTCTGGCAAGCGCATGCGCCCTATAGCAAAAACCTCTCAAAAAAAAGAAAAAGGGGTGGTTGTCAGAATCACAGAATATTTGTTAGAGTGCTGTGAAAACCACAAGGTGCTTTTGAAATTTAAGGTTGAAGTATTGTTATCATACTTTTGGTTCTGACTAGAACAAGTAGCTCTAAAGATGGTATAGCTGAACCATAGCAGCTCCTCTACAACTAAGTCTCTCCTCATCCTGGTGTCTTTTCCTTTTGTTTTCAAATCATGGGCTAACTCCTCCAAATGGCACTGCCTCCAAAGGTTTGAATGGCAAAATATATTCAGATCTGTAATTTTATAATGTGTGTACTCAGGATATGCCATTTTAATGACCTTGTCTCATTTCCACAAATCAAGTAGAAGGTATGCATGCACTTTTTGCACAATTCATAGCTGTACAGCTCCTTCCTTCCACCAGATAGCTGTTGTGCAATTAGGAGGTCTTGTCTTCGTAACCAGTTTGGAAATTCTCCATGAATTGCCTGACGCTTCTAGTTTGAGAAACACTGAGCTGTGGCCTTGCCAAATGGCTTTTCTTTAAAAATGTTTTGAGATGATGGTGAAAAAGATTTTATGAAATTGAAAGTGGAAATTGAATGTTTACCACATTTTGAGAAAAATGAGAAATGGAAAGTGAGAGAGAATTCTCTGAAGTAGCTAGTTCTTGGGGTAGGATTTGTTGAAGGGGTTAGCCATGTCAGAAGTTTGGATTGGCCTCTTCCAGAAAGAAAATCCTAGTAGTGGGTCTGTTGAGAGAGCAGAAGGGATGATAGTGAATATAATATTACTACGTCATATTTTAGGATATTTTAGAACATTTTTAGAAATAGACGGAAGCTCTCGAGTCTCTTCTCCCTTGTCTCTCTGAACTTCATTTTCATTTTTTTCTCTTTGTCGTTTGTCTGATGGTACCTTCCCATGCTTCTGATGCTGTGCTCTTTTTGATAATTTTATGTTTGCATCTTTCATCCCACTCCTTACCCCTACAAAGGTCTAAGGAAAAAAAACCTGTCCCCTGGTGCGGTGGAGTCCGACGTGAGAGGAATAACTGGTGTTGATTTATTTGGAACCACGGACGCAGTGGTGAAGCACGTCCTGGAGGTACTGATCTCAACAGCCAAGGGCTGGCTGTAGACTGTTGTCATGTGGCAGTACTGTACCACCTACACCAATGCAGCAGAAGAGTTTTCATTTATGTGGGCTGTGTCTGCCAGCTTTTTCGTATATGAAAAGAAAAAAGAAAAAGAACCTTTTAAGACGAGATATATATCAGCATACGTTTCATTAGCTGTCAGAGCTGTATCATCACATGTCATGTAGCCTCTAGACAACTACGTAAGCTCATGAGAGAATGGGAATGGAGAGGCAAATTAAGTCTTAGTATTATGCAAACAGTGTTGACTACAGACATCCTAAAAGAGCCTTGGGGTTCCTTCAGGGGTTTCCAAACATTGCTTTTAAGAATTTCTACATTTGGGCCAGCAGGTTGGTGTGGTGGTGTCAGTGTTGGACTCCCACCATGGCTGACCACAGTTCGAGCCCTGGGCCCAGGGACTTGAAAATTATGCTAAGTATATGTGCGTGTGTGCCCAAAATCCCAAGAGGAGAATGGAGGAAAAG